GCTCGAATGAAAGAGTTTTAATTTTGGAACGATTTTCGTCCAAGTGGCCCTTTAATGTATGTGGATAAATACGTATAGCTCTATAATTAATAGATGTTATGATATAATAGTAAGGAAAGTAATACGACTTCCCCCAACACTTCCTGCGTGTTTAAGTACCGAACGGAACAAGGAAAAAGCTGTTATATTTGTCAAAATTATGATATAGTCACATAACACTTCCTGCGCGCTGATTCGTCAAAAACTGTGCTTCATTAGTGACGCCAGAGCTGCTATATCCTGCGAGCGGTTACATTTTCACGTGAATTAAATTACCTGAATGGGAATTTAGTAGCTGTATCCTAAAACGAATAAAACCGCTTTTTCCATGCTCCGTCCAGCAATAAAGTACTCAGGAAAGGCCGTAAGCACTCACGGATTGAAACTCAACCACCTCAGCGGAAGTCAAGCAGTTATCGTAACGTTCTTAAGTGTAAGCTCGTGCAAGTTTTGAAAATGGGTGTGAGGGACGATGAGCCTGCAACATTGTTTTAAAATATCAAAAACAGTTATCAACCAGATCGTGCTGCAAGGAGAGCTATAGACTGAGTCAGTTAGTAAAATACGACTATTTATGAAGTGTGAAACGTTTAAAAAGAACGCATAATTTATTACTACTTTACTATTTATGAAGTGTGAAACGTTTAAAAACGCAGTAGTTCGTTGGGGTAACAGATTAGAGTAATTAAATTTCATTCATTTCTGTTTAACTGTTTCCGGCAATGAGTCATCCCTTTGTGTAGAAGCTAATAAAGCGATATGTGCTATAGTAGGGTGGAGCTACACTTTGAGTCACTAGAGTCACTAATATTAGCACCTTCCTATTGGTGCAGGGTATTGAAGTCCAAACTTACACCGAAAAACCAACGTTCAGTCTACGTGTGGTTCGGTACAAGAAAGCACATCAACAGTAACGCGCGACTAAAAAAGACAAAGTTTCACTGCCAATACTTTCAAAATGGCAGGCAACAATAATGTTTTTAACGACGATTTATTTGAAGCAGAAGGCATCGAGAATTGTTCAGAGCCCAGCGGCATGCAGACTGACTTTTCAGAGGATAAGGAGACGACAGAGGAAGCGACAAGGATTGAAGACAAGAAGATGACAGATAACAACGGTGAAATCGGGTACTTCATAAAGAAAGGAATGGAATTTGTGCCAATGACCAACTTTTCAGTCGAGTGTACTGGTTACGTTGTGGAAAGCCCTGCGAGCGGAAGCTCGGAAGGATTTCTGTTTAAAGTGATTCCAAAGGGCTCCATTTCCAACGAAGAAAGTCAAACTAGCACAAGGTACATCTGACTGTATTTCATGTTCTTTCTGTTGTCTGTGCTATTCTATTGCGCAAAATGAGCTAAATATAGACTTTACAAGTGTAGCTGATAATTTCTAATGATTACTCTTAGGATTGCAAAACAAATTTTGGACTCAGTTATTTTGCCGCGTGTTTTATGTCGTTTAGTGTGAACTGGCAAAGTTTCAGGGGATTGGCAATTTTACGTGAGATGGTCGCTTGCGAGAGCGTTCGTTCGAGGAGACTTCATTTTTGTTATTGCTTTATTTTAGTTTATTTTTTGTAAGGGGAGTTTGTTTCGTTTTACAGTGAAAAACCTAAGTCATTCTTGTACCCAGAGATGACCGCTTTCGAGAGCCGGTTCGTTCGAGGAAACTCCCTTTTTGTTGTTATTACTTTATTTTACTTTATTTTTTGGGGGGATTGAAGGTGTTGGTTTCGTTTTACTCAAGCAAAACAAAAAAATCGAAGGCTCTGGTCGGCTCTGGTAACACACAAACCGAAAGACCAGATTCTACATGTCGTAAGATATGCGCATGCTCTACATATCGTAAGTTCCGGTATAAATTCAAACCGTATTTTCATTTCTCTGTTTCTAACAATCTGGGGGGAAAAGCAAGAAAATGAGACCCTATGATGTGTATGTCAATTGAAAGCATTCAAATTTCAACATTTGAGAATATAGTTAAAAAAACTAAACTTATAACTTAAAAAAAGAAAAAAAAAAGCCTGTACGTCTCTTACATTGCGCATAAAACAATCTTTCAAATTTTTGATAAAAAATTAAACAAGAAACTCATGGAGTACCACTTTCAAATCTCCATGAAATAGCTCAGCCCATGCCGTCCCAATAAAATTAATTTATGAAAAGTATAGCGTGAAGAGTATTTGGCTGGAATCATAAAGCAAATTTATAAAAATCATAAATACTTTGTCGCAAAATGTTTTTTTTCTGGAAATTTAATGTCCCATTTTTTAGCTCAAATAGGGCAAAAATTGGCATAATACAACCCCCTACAGTTTCAAAACGAGCACGGTGACCCCTATTTTTTATTGCATTTTTGACCTTATATATATTATGTTAGTCTTTAAGGTGGCTGCCTACTTTTGAACTTTCGATTTGAGCCCAAATATGCCCAATCTGCGCGCGATCAAAAACCGCTGAAAATTCTGAAAAGGATTTTATTGAAGAACCATATGCGTTTTAAACTTCAACAGGGCAAAACCCTCAAATTCGGGACTCTCTATTTTTCACTTTACTCATTCGAAAAAAACTCCTAAAAACCTAGGTAATATCAACATTGTAGGAAAAGTTTAAATCAGTAAGATATATGAAAAAATAGGTTTTTGTAGGGATTTTTGCTCGACTTTGAGATTTTTAAGAGCACCGAAACTATATAATATGACAAATCAATTTATCTCTTTGTCTTTTTGTAGAAAATATCCATGTATTATTGTAGAATGATTGACTAGCTTTCATTCGTGAAATCATAGAGTCTGCCAATAGCCATTATCTTATGAATTTTAATTATTTTAAAATCATTTCCGGTGGCGCAATGTTTGTTCCTAAAGCTCGCGTAGGCTTCCATTAAATGCAGATTATATCGAAAACAAGCTTGGGACACCCCATTTTTTCCGGATTTGGCATCAGCATTGCATTTCGATATCGCAAACAGCGGATATTACATGGGCGCGAGGAGATGCGAAGTTGATCTTTGAGTGTTGAAAAGATCAGTGAAAATATCAGTTCTTCGGAAAGGAGAAATATAGGTATTTTATGGATAATTATATGATAAAATCGAAGTTTTAAAACAAGTTTAATGTTTTTTTTTTCCAAAAGTAGGCATTCACCTAAAAAACGTAAAATAGATCCTCCTAGTTTTCCTTTGCTTAATTTATGCAGTTAATGCCAAATTAGCCTTGTGAAATGAATATTCTAAAAAAATAAGTGGTTTTTCAAAGAATATGGACACAATCTCCGTATGTACCACATGATGTAAAGATAGGAAGCACGAAGCAAAAAAATGTTTTTAGCCAACTATTAGGGGTATTTTTAGTCAATAAACAAAGTGCCAGTCATTTAGGAGGTTTTAAAAAGGAAATTTATCAAACTATTTTCCAAAAAAAAAAATTCCGCGTTAATAAAATCGTGATGTCATCATTTTATGACAAAATTTTAAGCTTTATTTCTCGTAAAAGCACTTTTTTTCAAACTATTTTTCAAACCAGAATTCACATAGTCATTTAAAAAAATTATTTTATTCTCAGTTCGTAGGTACCCTCCTTAAGCTGTATACTTTTGAGTATGAGGGCCAATGGGTTATCAGTATGACTTTGTTTTAAATTATGGCTGTCGTGTGTTACCCACTTGAAATAAATTTCATTCATTCATTCATATTTGCCATTTTAGTCATTTACTGTAAAATCGGAAAACCAAAAACATGAATAAGTAAAAAATATTTTTTTATAACATGATTTAGCTAGGAGGTGTCACCGAGCATTGAGCTAATCATTGCTAATAGATAACTATGAGCTAACATATTTTTTTCTTTATAGTCAACAGTACTATTTGACATGGAGGGACATGTCTACCCAGATAGGCATATTAAACAAGTTTTCGTCCAAGAAATTGTGGACTGTTCCATCTAAAGAACAGTATTTACCCCCCTATTTCAAAAGGCTCTGTGACGAATATGTGAAATTGAGTAATCCTCGACGAGTATTCCCAGTTGAGGTGAGTTATTATAATGAAAAACATAAAATAAAAAAGACATATATTACTGAACMATTATAATTCATCAACGAATCGTTGGATCAACTGGTGTATCAAGATAGATAACAGAGAAAGTGTTCATTTATTTCATGGTTGATCTAAATGAGACTTCTATTTATGGTTATGCTAAAATTCACTAATAAGAGAAAAAGAGTAAAACTGAAAATAGGATGTTCAGTACGTAGTATTGCTTAATACTCCCACTGTGTATGACAACCAATTAATTATATACATTTTAAATAATTCTTATAATTGCCAGTTTTTTGTTAACAATGAAATTAAGTACCAAATTTAAATTTAGAGCAACTTTTAATTATTTATATCAAAATTATGAAAAAGAAAGTGATATTTTACTTCGTTATCAAAGTTCTTTCAAACCGGAAGAGAAAAAAGCAACTCATAAAAATGATTGCAGCTGCACTTTAAAATGGGTGTCGAAATATGTCTCTACCTTAAAATTCTTACTTTGATTTTTCACATCTGCAGTGCATTGGTTTACAAGAGAGAAGTATCCCACCAACATGGATAATAGGATCAAACATCCATGTTTCGGTGGAAAATGGAATGGCTAGGAGGCTTGATGAAAGTGCATCCCCATTCGCAGTATTGGGTGATGAAATTGACCCCCTGCCTTTTCTCCAAATAACAGGTTTGTTTTTTATAAAGAGAAATATTAAAATACATTAGAAAGTGTAGGTTAAGTACATGACACCTCTTTTTGTATTGTGATCAATATATTGTAGGATATATTTGTTCTCCTTTATTTATTATCAAACCTGTGGTTTTGGATGTTACAACATTCATCACATGACAATTTTTTTAGTACAATCTGATCTGATCATTTGTCAGACACTTTATATTGCAATGAAACAGTACATATCAGACCCTTAAAGTAAAGATTATTCCATTARGGTTTCAGCTGAATTAAATTTTGGAAGATTTATATTACATGCTAGTCCCCTTTAAGGACATATAATATAATGGATTTTTATTGACAAATTATGGAAAATTGGAAACCGTCAGTCACCAAAATTAACCTTGCAAACAATGAAATCTACCTAAAACACAAGTAATAACAATCTAAATAATTAATTATTAATTCAATAGTACAATAATAGTACATATAGAGTACTCTCTTATGTTGTGAGATTTAAATTACATACGCATATGTACAGTAATAATTAATCTATGTTTTCAGGGGACAATGGTTTGTTAGATGAAGGTGAGGCTATAAAAGAGATATTAGAGATGGAGGCGAGTTTAATGGGCAAGAATTTCCCACCCGCCCTTCTGATCCTTGGAGGGATGGGTGTGGGAATCCATTACGAGCAACTTAGAAAGATGTRTGATGGTGTGCCATTGGTAATGGCATATGGCCTTCCCGTCTCAGGGAAGTCCTTTGCAGTTGAGGTTGCCATGTCCATCATCGGAGAGTCTAAAAGGACTGGAGGTAATTAATGAAATCAATTGTTTCAAAATTTGAAGTAAACTTATGGTATAAAACATAATGGACAATACTCTTTCGGTATTTATTTTTCTATGTGAAGTGAATGGTTTAATTTGTATTTCCAGTATTTAATATTGTAAGACCAATATTATGATTGGGCCTCGATCACAGTTAAAAATTCAAATGGGGGATAATGATAGGATATGCAAATAAAAGTCATGTAAGTAATGTATAGCTAATCAAATCTTAGGAATTACACTTCTACGTACATTTTGCAATTGGGTCGTGATGTATTTGGGTGGTTACTCCTGGTTATGTCCTCTCTCTCTGGCTTCACGCTATAGCTTATGGCAGTAACAATTTGTTTTTCACCTCTCTAAGCTTGTTCATTCTTTTCTTTTAGAATGCACACAGGCAGGCATCTTAAAAAAAGCTGGCAGTAGAACACTCCCTTTTTGGTGGGACGATGTCTCCGATTTTGGAATCTTAGAGGCACTAACAGTGCAGACCTTCAATCAGGTAAGTAATATAATATGAGATTTACTAACTGAGAAGTATTTGTGGTACTATAACATTATAGAAACCATGTCTAAAAATATCACTTACATTATCAGACTGGGTGTTTAGAAAGCTCTATATTGTGCACCTTTTTTTTCTTTTATTCCAATTATTCAAATCTGTTTTAACAGTCATTTTAAGAAATCTTTTCATAGAGTTTTGATCGATTGACCACATGAAACACAACTTTACATTAAATAGGGGGCCATATGGTAGGGGGTTATGGTTATATGGTTGGGGGTTATGCATGCATGATGATGATCATGGTTACCAATTGATTCAAAGTACAGTACTAAACATATCATTTAAAACATTTAAAACATRTCAAACTAGTTAATGGAAGTATATATTTTGGTTAGGCTTCAACAAACTGAAATTTTACATACAATATTGTTCAAAGAAAGTCAAAGGCATTCGAATTATTTTACCCATTAACATGAATATAGAGTGTGCTGGCCAATTTAAGATTTGCTATACTAATGAAAATATAGCTAATATTTTAATATCACAATATCAATAGGCTCAAAGAAATACAGCAAATGCAATACAAGAGGGATCAAGAACGATACCTCTAATGACGATGAATCCGCAATGTCTCAGAAGAAAAAAAATGGACCAAGAGAAAATCGCCAGGTATTGTCCACTAAAATCTGACTTACAATTGTTTCAATATAATAGATATTGAAGTATTGTCCTAGAAAATGTAAAAAAATTTAAATTGAAAGTTAACTTGTTAGAAAAGCTGTCAAAATTATTGTTAAAAATAAGCTAGATGAAAAAAATTATGGACAGGACAACTATGTAACTTAATTGGTGAATTTCTATTGTGCAGCACATGAGCCTCAGAGTGCAAAATCAAACATATATCCAAAGACATATCCAAAGTTTTTGCTATATCAATATTATTACCTAACTGTTACCAGTGCACTGCGGYGGGCTAAGGATCAGACCTGTGAAAAAGAATGTCACAGATATATATATACTTAGTTATTGCAGCATCAATTTGAAAAAATGTTWACATAGAAAAAGTCTACAGAGTATGAAGTGCAAATTAAAGTATAAAAACACTGTTTCATAATGAAATTACAGTAAATTAACTGCATTTGCGGAATTTACAGATTTTTA